ATATTCGTTTTTTAGAAGGTTCATAAGGTTTTATAATAAAGTTGTTTCAATCTTTGAACCATTATTACCGTGGCCCACACTTCCTTAAAGCAGGTTCCCTAGGCTCACCGACCAGAAGAAATGACATGTATTCAGTTGCCCTGGGGCTACGTGCAATACTCTCAAACATTTCTGGGAAGACAAGTTTCGCAGAAGCTGTTGTCATCGTTTAACCAATATGGCGCGCTCACACCCTTCTCTCAGTATTCAGGTTAAGAATATTTCTGCCTTGTATTGATGGACTAATTATTGGTTAATGAATGCGAGAAAATTGATGATACCTGTCAACAAAGACTTTCTCTTTTTAATCCCCATTTATTTTGCCGGAATTTTGTACACTTTCTTTTGTCTTGTCTCGGGAACACAGCGAACGTTCCTCGAATCGCAACAAATATCGTGATTTCATGTGGCGCCCACAAAGTGGAAAGGGTAGTGGGGCGACGGGATTAAGTTGCAAGAATTTTCAGAGTTCGTTGGCCAGCCTGCCACAGTATCGGTCTCCCATGTCGACACGTAAAAGGTGAAGTATCCTAACCTCCATGAAACAGACGAGCATTTGTACGCGGTTTTAGAATTCACTCAGGGTTGCGTATCCTGCATGTTCTGTTATCGGTATCGATATTAATTAATTAATTAATTAATTAATTAATTATATTATATTATATTATATTATATTATATTATATTATATTATATTATATTATATTATATTATTTACGTATTTATTTATCTACTTATTTATCTATTTTCTTTTCCTGGCGCTTCAAATACTAAGGTCATTAGTTCCGGAAGTGTAGTGAATGTTTCATCGCGAGTGTGTCTATGATCTTGCTCCCCTGAATGGCTAGTTACTGTACCGACCTACTCTCAGCTTACAGAGTATTCCCTATTCAGGTACCTCCGATCAGCGGGGCCCCAGACGGGACAAGCCACCCCAGGGAGGAAAAACAGTCGATGAGAGCAGCGGCCGCTAGAATTCTACAGATAGCGGCTGAATTCGGCTTCGCTAAATAGCTAGTGTCGAAAATTTTACAGTCTTTGTGAGTCGAACTGTAGAATCTCCGGTCAGAGGCAATGCAATGGGATCAATTGATGCCCTGGGCCATTTAAGCCGGGGAATCGACATAAAGTATTGAATGAATATCGCAGCACCCTCAATCACACTGATGGTTCTGCAAAGAGTATTCCGCAAAAAGCGCCGTGGGTTTTGTAATTGCGGGCGGAGAAAACGGGCGGCAGAGGCGGCGTGCGCTGAGGTTGCCGGAGTCGACTCCCGGCGGCGCCTGCGGACTCACCGCGCGCGCTTTCTACAAGCAAACTCCGCGCGGGGCAAACAAGCAGGCAGTGCGCTCCTCCTCACCTCTTCTCTCCACAGACGGTCCCTCGCACCCCTCTCCCCAACTAACTTTATCTACAAACCTTCACCCATCCATTCACCACCCCATTCACCTTCTATTATCCACCAACCTTCCTACATCTTCACTCACCCATCTTCATCCAACTCTACCTACCTTCACCCACCCACTTTCTGACTTTCTCACCTATTCACCTTCACCCATCCCCTTTCTGAATTTACCTACTTACCTTCCATCTTCATCCACCTCCAACTAACTTCATTCAACTCCACCTACATTCATTCAACTCCACCCACCTTCACTCAACCCCCTTCACTCATCCACGGTTCCCTATCTACCCACCATCTACCTACCCACCTCCACCCACCCCCACCTACCTACATTCACCCTGGAGAAGACGAGGAATTTGAGACTGATAGAACTGCCGCATCTCAAAAATGACTTTTTATCAAGAGGAAATGGAATGCAGGGCCTTTTAATGCCGAAATTCGAGTCACTTCAGGTCTGGTCAAAGGATTATTGGTTTTCCCCCCATTTATTTTTTTTGCTCGTTATCAATCATATTCAACGCGAATATTTTTTACATCTACTCTGGATCGAGGCGGAAAAGTCCCATGGAATATCCACATAAATAATGGTCGCATATCTTCTACGTAACCACTGTATGCCAGTTGTTACCTCTTGTGACCGATTAGGTGGATGTGCCTGCAGCGCCTCCGATCGGTAGGTCCTAGGGTTCGAGTCCCGACGGTGGTAGTGTGTTCGACACTAACTACATAGGTAAGTCGGATTCAACCGCTGTCAAGAGGAAAATTCAAGCGACCAGCTGCTCTGATCAGTTGTTTTCCTTGGTTTGTCCAATCAACATCAGGAGATTGCTGGAGCAGGGCGCGATCTTTCTTTTCTCTTCTTTGTCCTGTCCTCAACTCCTTCTTACACATACACATGCATTTAATATACTATCACACATGCCAGGAGTTCTGCCGGGATCTTAGCGTTTGTCCCGGATGGGGCGGTGCTCCCCTGGTGGGAGATACCTGGTTGTGGAAAAAGCTCTTAAGCAGTCCGGTAGGTCGGCGTCGAATCTCGCCATCCAGCGGAGGAAGATAAGCTCCACGTCCCGCGATAAGTCATGCACTGCACTTAGGGAACTAACGACATTAGCAGTTGACGCGATAGAAATTACTAAGCAATCAATAAATAAAGTATGTCACCTCACTTGAAAATTGTAGTTTTTCATACGTCTTATGATCTTCAAAAAATTATCGATGTTAATTTTCTTGTTTGTAATTTTTATTTAGATTTATTTTGATAATAAATATATGATTTCTCTATATGTTTTGAATTTTGATCTTTGTGACTATTTCACTAAGGTGATTTTGAGCAACAAGACTAAGAATTTTATGTGTATGAGTCAAACATTGATGTAATTTTTGAAATTTTTAAGTTATATGCTAGGAAATTTGATACGACACGGGTGTGTCATAAAATTGTATTGATGAATTGAAACAAGAAAATAGAAAAGGACGTCATTTCTCCATAGATGTCTAATTGAACTGGAATGTGATATCTTTTCCAATGCTGAGAAAACTTGCTTTCCACTGCGAAACAAAAAAACCACAACGAAGAGTCATTTCGGCTTGAACCTTGTAGTTACAGCACGTTACAACCATCGGTGTTCATATTCATTAAATGCTTTATAATGTGTGCTCTGCAGCTTGGGGAATATCACAGCTCCAATTGCTTTAACTGGCCTTGATATTTAACTTCTTAAATTGATTATTTGTCGAGACATTTGCTCTCTTACTTCTGTAATGTTTGTTTTGCAATGTCTATAAAACAATTCATTGTGAAACAAATCATCCAAAATCACACATTGCACATTTTCACGCCATCTGAACCACATTTCAAGGTTTATTACGTGTAAATGTTTCACCACAAAAAGGATTTCAGGAAACTTTTCTTCCATATTTCACGCTGTTTCTTGTCATGCTAGTGCTTTCATCTTGTGACCTGACAGTTAAAAATCATCGCTTTCTCCTAGAGGTAAATTCTCACATGAAAACTTTCTTCCGCGACACCCATGGATTAAAATTAAGATATTATATGTCTCACTTCACTGAACACTAAAATGGTATCTGAAAGCATGCAGACAAATGTAATTAAATTATTTCCTTCTTATGTCTAATCTATCAGTTCTGAATCTTTTCACCGGACAAAACCTTGAGTTCACTCAAGTATGATACAGTGAGACAAGTTAATAACGGGAAGTTACTTGGGATAGAGGTTTTAAAACGTCATCCACAGAACAAGAACTGTCAGAGACAAAATGCGGAGACAATTGGATAATAATAATAATAATAATAATAATAATAATAATAATAATAATAATAATAATAATAATACTGAATGTACTGACTGTACTGACTTCAATTTTGAAAATTCTTTAGCTTCCACGATATAAAGCCTAAAAATCCCTTGAGAAAATATGAATATTTTAAATAATTTGTTTTTAAAAGAATTTTACATCAGAAATTAGGTGGTTGATTTGGGAGGGACCAAAAAAAAAAACATAACGCCTGTAATGTAGGCAACCCTCCCAGCAGTGAAGCGAAAATTTGCACAATACGAATAAAGTAATAGAAAAATATTTTTGCTCCTCCTAACAAGTCAACAATTTCCGACCTCTGCAATCTACTTCAGGGCTTTAATCTACTTTACCTCCATTTCATATTTTGTCCTTGATATTTTCGAAACTTTTATTTTAATAAAACTCATTGAGGTCTCGCTTCACTAAGTACAAGCGGTCGGAAAAGAGTGGAGGATTGTACAAATAATTTGTGTTAGGGCGTGAATTTAGATACTCGTAGGTTTCCGATCTTTATTCCGACATCTTATACGAATCCGACAAATCTCGCAGTCAATGAAGTCCTTTTTTGTAAACACGCGGATTTTTAGGATATGTTTAAAGAAACATTCGATCTTTGCCAGCACAAAAGTGAACAGTAGCGAGAAAAACATTGAATTGTTTCGAGTTCAATTTCTACGTAGGGTTAAGGAAGGAGGCTCTCACCTGTTCGGGTGACGCCGCTTCGAGGGCAGTGATGCCCAGTGAAAACCACTGTGGTTGGTAAAAAAGTATTTTAAATATAATAATAATTAACGAATTAAAATTTAAAAGCCTGTCAAAGTTAAGCAAATTGTTACAGCATTCCGTATTTTTCATCGTGGTTCAAAAGATTTTCAGAACCTATCATGTTCATGATCTCGCGGGGTGGAGAGGCGCGGGGCGGAGAGAATGAGGACGGCAAAGCGCGGGGTGGGAAATGCGGTGACGGCGAGGGGTGTGGCGGTCCACGCGGCACGCAGAGGGGCGGGACGTGTCAAGGCGGGGGCAGGTTGAAGCGGCGCTGCGATGAGCAGTTTTGAGGAGCGGGGCGGATAGGGTTGAGGCGGGCCAGAAGGCACGGGAACGAACAGGGCGGGGTGAGGTTGAGGCTCGGTGGGGGCAAAGCGGGGCTGAGTGGCGCATTTGCTCATTGTGGCCGCGTATAGTGTAGCGCTAGCGCTTGTCCTCGTTTGCGCAACGGCGGCGCTGTGTGCAGGTCACGCGTCGCAGCTGCGAGGGCCGCGGGAGGGGGCCATTACTGCTTAAGGGTCATTCAGCTCAATCGGTGGCGACGGGGGCGCTGCCTGCCAGCACGCTCGGCCCTTCCCCTGCCTTCTCAGAAGGCATCCAACTGCTAAAATAGGTACTTTAATTGTTTTTGCACAAACAAGCGTTTTGTACTTATTAAAATTTACATACGAATATTAGCTTCGCCTCATGCACTCTTCGAATTTTAGTGTCATGGTAGTTCCCCTCGTCATAAGAGGCACCTAATTGTTTACCTTTAATTGTGTAATGCTGGGTCAATAACCCCATCTTTTTCAACCAGCTTTCCTTGACCCACAGAGCTACAGGTGTCAACAGGTGATATGAAGGCTCCTCGTACCCAACATATTTTTTTTAACTTTCGAATATCGCTCATTTGTTGCCATAGAGGTATAACATAAGAATTGGACACAAATCAATTATTGTTAAGAAGATATAGGGTTTTAGAGTTCTTTCTACTGCTATAGTGGAAATTAATCGCGAGAGAAGAGTTCTTAAAATATTGTACCACTATTTCTTACGAGCTTTAAAAATTTTAGTTAAATTTTCCTGAAAAGCAAGCTTTTTTACTTTCTAGTATATTTTTGGTTAAGACACTGTTGCAGGAAATAAACAATATTTTTTCTTTCCCATTTTCTGAACGGGGAAAAAGTAAGTCAGCATAGAATCGGTTCCATATTATACGAGAATGTTAATCGGTTGTGAAGATGAAGTTCAGCCACTGAAAAGGTGAAAGAGTACTCGTATGTGGCAACGACTAATGACACCGAAGGCTTCCTTGCTCTATCCCTTTCATCAACTGCTGTCTTGCAAGGTGGATGTTCAATAGACTTTTAAAGGTTCTTGAAAGAAAATATTAGTGAACAGAGTATGGTATACTCGATATGATAATTGAATTTAATATTTTATAATTTTGATTTCAATGATTCTTATTCTCAACTTTCTTTTGTAGTGAGTAAGCACACCTTTCTGAAATTCAAAATTACATTGAAAGTGTTTCTTTTTTATTAGGCGTATTATTAGCTTGTTATTAAAACGCCAATTCGAAATATGGACAACTGTACTAGAATAATACTTTGTTAATTCTCACTTTTTCTTTTGCTAAACTGCAGAGTAAGCTCAGACGAATCACTCGTTTCTATGTACCTACAGTGTCAGATTCTTCTCTGACCACACCTCAAGTGAATGTTTTACTGGAAACTTCGCCATAACACTTTGCGTCACAGAGTGCCCCCAAAAACTACATTTGAACAAACGAAAACCGATTGAATGAGTACATTGAAGCTACACCATCTCTTGCATTCAAGATTCTTACTTCGCGTGTATTTCCGTTCAATACCCTGCAGTACCTCACTCCATCGTTCAATGAGAGTTGAGATGGGCTGTGTTAATCTTTGCCTTTCTGCTTAAATTTCAATTTAAACTTTTACCGGCAGAAAAATATTATTGACTTTCCCATTTGCTCTCAATTAGTTTTATTTCTTTCCCTAGCTGGTCTGCGATAACGTAAGTTCCCAGACACTTATAGGTCTGGTTTCTCTATAAATCTATCTTCCATTGGTGAATTTTTACTAATCCCTCTACCACCAAATGTTATTTAATCCAAATAAAAGATCTTAACTAATTTTGCAGTTCCCATTTAATGTGTTTGAATACCTTTACTTTCAAGAATTCTCGGTTAGATTTCTTTTCTTATATGGTGAGTATTGATTACAGTTAAATATGAAATCAGATATTGTGTACGCGCAGGAAGAAATAGAAAGGCGAGAAAAATTGAGACGAAGAAAGTGAAACGACGGTCAATCGAAGAGGTCAGTGAAAACAGGTGCTTAGAGCATCTACAGTTTTATCTTCCGCAAGTTATCTTACAAAAAAACTAGCGGGAATGTCCCGCCATAACTTTTCTTCTTCTTAGTGTTATTGCTCAACCACTATATTTTTCTTTAAAAAAAGTGCACGGCATCTTTTACAGGGACCCATTACTGATTTTTATACTTTCATATAGCAAATGTTTACTGAAGAATCCGTAACGTACTATGATACAATGGGCCAAGTTTGAATAACGTACCTCAATCCACTTTTTGTTATTTGTTTGGCTTAATATAAAAATCATCTTGCATAACAATTTGTACTTTTTCCTTACACAATTTATTTTGCTACATTTCAATATATATTTAAACAACTTGTACTAAAGAATTTTGTTTTCTAATATGCATTATTATTGTCAGACACTTTTAGGAGTTAATTTTTGAAGATTGGAAATTCTCCATCAGTTCAACTCACAGAAAATTTATTTCCACACAAATAACATTGATCAGAACATTATTTTATCTTGTGGTATTCCTGAATGCGTCATTACAATCTAGAATTACGTTGCAAGGATTTTTTAATTTATAGGATGGTGGAAAAGAATATTTGACGGCTTTAGGATACATACAAACCTCTAACCTAAGCAGGTCTTTTAAGCAACCTTTAAATATTGTGTATCACAAATATTTAATTATTATCTTGTAAAAGGAGATTATTTTAGACTAAAAAATAAACATTTTTTAGGAAAATTGCCAAATTTCAGTCATGGATCCCATAAAAGATCTACAAACGAGGGATGTAGTGAACCGAGAAAGAAATCGCTTACTGATACAGGTTTAAGCCAGGTTTGGAAATAATATAAACTTTTGCAATTTTCAATATTTCGAATGTTTTAATGAAACCGGAATTACACAATTTTAATGAATTAACTTCTATTTCGTAATAAAATTCAGAAAAAAATGTGCAGCCATTTTTCAGAAAATTTTGAAAATTTCGAAAAAGGCTTCCTGTAAAGTAGTCTTCCAAAATGAAAATATTTTAATGATCTCCAGAACCTCACATCTAAATATTACTCCTGATGTATTTAACAAATTTCAGCTCAAAAGCATCCAATGTGATGGAGTTAGGCATTATTCCATCAATTTTACCATTCACTCACACATCCCGATTTTCGGATACAAAATTGCATGTATCTCCTTGCCACCTGAATCAATCTTTTACATCTGTGGAACAACAGTCGTATACATTACGAGTATTCCTGACATGTGTGCAATGTAACAGTTGAAAATCCTTGAACGCGTATTTTCCTATATTCCTTCCCCGGTTTTTAGCGAAATTTCTCCCCCGATGGATGGTGAGATCCCGCACCGTTCTGTATGTCGGCTTGCGAGGATACCTCCCCAGCGGGGTTTCTCCCCCAGTAGTATACCACCCCACTTGGTAAAGATCTCTAAGCTCAGACTGGTTTCCTGATATGTGTGGTAGTGTAGTGCGTATAAGTGTGTGTAAGTAAGGGGTGAGGATAGGACAAGGAAGAGGATGGAAAGATCGCGCGCGTCCGTGGCCCATCGATTTGGGTACTGCTCCGGCGTTCACCTGCTACTGATAGGAGAAACGATATCATTCTACCGAACAGTATAGTGGGCCGTTAGAATTCTTCTCCAGACAGCGGCTAAAACCGACCTATCTAACTAGCAACGTCGACAACCCGCCTCCGTCAGGACTCGAATCCTAGGACCTACCCGGTCAGAAGCACTTCAGTCACATCAGTTGAGATCCCGAGTCACTTAAATCGGTTTGTGTGTTTCGCAGCGGTTCACTCGAATGAGAGATATATTTTCATATAAATAATTCAAGATGTTTGAAGGGTTTGGTTTGAGAAAATTTTTGAATTTCATCTGTAGAAGAAATGGATGTTTAAATCTTAAGAAAACAGTGCTTTTGAAGTTAGAACTTGATTTTTATCTATAGTATTCAATAGAAAAATTCCAGACATTTGAAATAGAGAAATAGAGAACGTTAAGCATTTTCCTTCTTTTAGTATTCGGGAGTATAGCAAAGTATACAGGAAACAAAGGTTATCTAAAGACTGCCCCACTGTGGTTTCGTGTGACCCCAAATCCCTCCAAATGAAACAGGGCGTTATGTAGGAGAGTCCGCACGCATCCGAGTTGCCCGAGAGATCATTCAATTAACATGATGAAAGGATGAGCGTCGGCCGAGATGTCTGACGTCACAGAGGCGTCTCGCGGAGTTCCGGTTCCGGGCCAACAGCAGGCTCTGAGAAGTAGGTCATGAGAGGTGACAGCGACCGAAGCGACAGCGTCGAAGACGGCAAGGAGGCCTACCATTGGTGACGTTAAGAGGAAGGGAAGGCTGTGCCTCTGGAGTCACCATCAAAGGGATGGCAATTTTGCTAGCAGCACATTCAAATATTATTTTAATATTTTTCTTATTGATAAAAATGTTAAACGAAGGCTTAGTATAAAAATCGATCAATGACAAATTCCCTCTCAACTAGATAAGTTGTACAATTTATGAGTGAAATTATGAATTGTTGCTTAAATCGGGTTTATGTTTGAGGTTCATTTGAAGAAATACATGGGGTGAAGTCAATGTGTAGCATAAAAAATTATCCCTCTGGGTCAGGTCCACCACCAAAATGACGCTGCCTGGAGGAGAATTCTAGAGGCCGGCTGCTTTGATAGGTAGTTTTCCGTGGTCTCTCCGATCAACACCATGCAAATGCCGGAGCAGTACCCTAACAAACGGATCAGGGACCTCGCGCCATCCTCTTCCTTACACACACACACACTAACACTAACATGCATTCCTAGAGACCGGTCGGGAGCTTAGAGCTTGCCCCAGCTGGTGATGGGCCCCGCTAGTGGGAGATACTTGATTGGGAAAAAAACCCAAAGCCGGATTACGCCATACAGCCGTGGAAGACCACCGCCACCTCCGTAATAAAACATGCACTACACTTATGGAACTTCAAACTCTAGAAGTTGACGCGCCCGGAATCACTAATGATCAATCAATCAATTAATCAATCAACCAACCAACCAAACTGGCGCCATGGTCTAGAGAGAAAATCGCATGATGGTGATAGCAACAAGGGAAAGGAATTATTGATGAGAATGATGGTGATGGGACGGATTATGAGAGTGCCGGTAGATCAGAGTAGGATGATGAGTTGATAGTGTGTGTGGTAGAGCTGGTGGTGAGAGTTAGTGGGGTAGAGGCGATGCAAGGAGTCGTAGTAATGATGTAGTAGTAACGGTAGTAGTTGTCGGATGGTGAGCAACAAAGGTGATGGTTATAAAAATGGTGTTAAGGCTGGTAGAGTTGATGGTAGATGTTGAGATGGTACATGTAGCGCGAGGGGTGGAGGAGGTAATGGGGTGAAAGAGGATGCGTAATTGTAGCAGCGGTATTAGATATGATGAGAAGGGGGGTTGATATCAGGTTGATGTCGGTGAAGGCGTGGCAGTGACCGTGCTAGTGTGGTGTTGATGACGACGGTAGTAAAGGTGCTAGTGGGATGGTGGTAGTAGTGGTGGTGACTGTCGTAGTAGTGGTGGCCGTCGTGTCAAGAGTGCTTGGGCCGGTGGTAGTAATGGCGGCAGCATTAGTGGCGACGGTGGTTCTATTGGCAGTGGTGGATGGTTGTAGTGATGGCAATGGTGGTTGTAGATGTGGAAGTGGTAGTGTTTGTGGCAGCCGTGGTGTAGTAGTTGTAGCAGTGGTGACAGTAGTAGTTGTAGCAGCAGTGACAGTAGTAGTTGTAGCAGCGGTGACAGTACTAGTAGTGCTACTACTACTACTACTACTGATGATGATGGATAATGGTAGTAGTGGTGGTAGCTGTTATAATGGTAGAGACGTAGTGACAAGGGAGGTTGTGACGGTGGTGATAGTAGTAGTGGTGGCAGAGGGGGTGGCGTCGGTGGTTGAAGTGGCACTGGCGGGTGGCACAGAGGACGGACGCAGGAGGCAGCGTTGATGACAGTGGGAGCAGTGCTAGCTCCACCGAAGTCAGTGGCGGGGGCGGCCCGTCGCGTCGGTGGCGTCGCCCCACTCCGGGGGGTCGGCGGTGGCGCGTATAAAAGCGGCGTCGCTCGGCCGCCAGGGCTCCGTGCTCCGCCTTCGCCTCCGCGTCCTCCGCCTTCGCCGCCGCCATGAGCCGCCTCGCGCTGTCGCTGCTGGCCCTCGCGCTCCTGGCGCTGGCCGCGCGCGCCGCAGAGCCCAAGTACACCAACAAGTTCGACAACATCGACATCGACCGCATCCTCGGCAACGAGCGCGTGCTCACCAGCTACATCCGATGCATGATGGAGGAGGGGCCCTGCACCAACGAGGGACGCGAACTCAGGAGTAAGTGCCTCGCTCTCTTTTCTCCGTGCTCCTCTTTTCTCTTCAAAATTCTTCCTCGAGAAAGGCTTTATTTTTTTTGAAAATTAACATAATTTTTATTTGACTCAGTTTTTTTTATAGTTAATATGCTAAGAAAGTATACAATTACTCTTAATTGCTTGTATTCTATCTATTCTTTGGATAAAATTTCCCACTCTTATAGTTTTTTCTTTGAAAATTTTCTTTCATTCATATGGGTACTTCGATTTATTTAAAATTGTTTGAACAAGATTCACGAACAAAACATTTGTTTTTCTTAGCGTTGGAAAAAAATAAATTTCGTTTCAAATCTATATTTTTTCAAGAATACTTTACTCTGAAGCATTGCGATATTAATTGTAGAAGGTAGAAGGTACAGTTTTTTTCTTACTTCAACATATAATATGCAAAATTCATACCACGAAATTATAGACGCAGAAGTATCTATACCACCTCTGTCAGTATTAAAAGAAAAAATATTGTATCGTAAAAGGTTAAGAAGTAATGCTCCTACCAAGAATTTAACTAAGCAGACATATGCCTGTCTAAAGTTTGTTTATTTATGATGATTATTTGTGCAAGAGGTAGGTCTGAGTTAAGGTGACTGATGTGTTGGTAATAATGGGTTGAAAGTTGAATATACTTTTGCAGACAACAAAATTGCCATCGGATGAGAACAAATTGAAACGCAGTGCCTAGAGCAGGAAAGCAGGCCTTCCGCGGCCGATCACCGATTCCTAGAGGCGTGAGGGGTAGGGGTGGGGGACGCCGGAGGCTGCGAGGTGGTGGACCCTGGGGGATGCCGAAAGGCCTCGTGGAGCGGAGAGGGGCAGGGCGGGAAGGGGCGGAGCGGCGCGGCGCGGCAGAGAAAGCCGTCGCGTTGCATCACCGGGTGTGAGCAAGCAAGCGAGCGCGCGCGCGGCAGCGAAAGTGGACACAGAGGGTGAACGGCCGACCAGCCGCCTCCGGCGCCGCCCCTCCCCTCCTCGCACTCCACCTCCTCTCCTCTCGCGCCCCCGCCCCTCTCGCTCTCTCTTCTCGCCTAGATCTGCCCTGCGGCGCCCCGCTCCTGACGCCACTTTTCGCTGCCACCCTGCCACCTTCCACTCACGACCCGCTGCAATCCGCTGTCGACTTCCACTTTCTCACTACAACCCGCGGCCTTCCCGCTCCCTCTCCCTCCCCACCCGCCACAGTCCCGCCCTCGACGCCCATCCTGCTCTCGCCCCGTCCATCGCCTTTCCACCAACGCCCCACACCCTTCCCACCTCCCATCCCCGGCGCCGTCCCGCCTCCGCCGCCACTCTCGCCCGCCGCCCCCTCCCGCCCATTCTTGCCTCTTCCACTCCCCTGCCCACTCCCCCTTTTTTTCCCTGCCGCCCCGCTCCGCCCCCCTCTTCCCCGCTGCTCCCCGCCACGCGACGGTTTCACTTTCACCACGCAGCCTCCGGTGAGTGGCGAGCTCCATCATGAGAGCGCTGTGCGCGGAAGGCGGCCAGCCCCAGAACCTGCTTTACGGCCCTCGATGATCGGCTGTAACACGGCGGTAAAAGCTGCTATGGTTCTCGAAACTTACTAGAAGTACCACTCGTAAACACGAGGGTTATTTAATAGCTTTACCAAGAGAATGCAGCGGAACCTCAGTAGCTCGCTTTTACCTATACCATTCTTTCTTTGTCTTAAACCTGCTTTGAATACATCCGTGTTAATTTATCTGGATCTTTATGTTGTTATTAAGAAGCAATAATTACAATAATAAAAATGTTCGCTGTTTTCTATTGCGAACTATTGCATTGAGAGCTTTTCTCTCCGGATGCTTGGCGAGAGTATTAAATGTTCGAATTTCTTACGAATGTTTACACTAGGCGCTTTAGCGTTACGTCAGTTATGCGCATTTTAATTTGACAGTTCTCTGGAACGGCGAAAAAGCGTCGTTTAGTGATTTAATATCACATTAGAAACATGAACTGAATGACACACCTCAAAAATCGTCATTTTAATGAAGAAATGTTTTGAGAATAATCTATTTTTACCTGAAATCGCTTCAAATATCACATTTTACAGAATAGAAGGTGTTTAGAGTACTTTTTTCTTTGGACGTGGACTAGAGGGCTGTGTTCATAATAACTCTGTTTTCCCACAAAATTACAATTTTTTAACATTGGCAATTTTCTTGTGCATCGACGATTCGTGGAAATATTTACTCTTAATTTTTTCTCACATTCGAGATATAAAGATTTCTACGTGGGAATCGGTCTCGCCTTAGATTTCGAATATATCGGAGTCAACAGGCTACCACAATTATTTGACACATGATTAAGAAAAGTACGCATTGTGAACTAATATAATCCCAGAGATTTTTCTGGAATTGTTCACAGGTCGATTTTAATGACTTTACATTTTTCTTAGAATGTAATCAAAGCCGACTCCTCAAATAGGATTATACAAATAGGAGTCCTGAACTAAGCTCTCAAGAAATCAACTGGGGGATATACTACCAATTTCGATAAAAGCAGACTACTGCTTGGATAAAAATTCTACAGCCGAATTCTCTGAAAATTTCTTTTCATTATTTCCTGCAATAGTTTCGAAGGAGATTCCGGAGGAGTAACTTAAACGATAAACCAAGAGCTCGCTTGCGATCCTTCCTTTCTCATCTTCACCCCCATATAATCTTTTCCTACAGCCTGACGATCGACTGGTTCTCCTTTCCTGTAAGTGTCATTCACCTTGATTTCGTAATATAGTCGCAGTACTGCGGCTATGCGGATATCAAACCACGACTCTATGACTGTAGAGCAGTAGGCAGAAGTAAACAAATTCGCTTGTCTAATTTCCAATAACATAAATAATCTCAGAACATTCAATTGTCATGTTCTATCAATGTGCCAACTGGCCTCATTGGCGTACGGGCATGGAGAAATGGCTGTACATAGCGGAAGGCAAAGTTTTCGAGTTTCGAGGTGAGAAAAGGAGTTTTCGCCGTCTGGGAATGTCTTTTCACATCACCACGTATTTTACGTAAATCGCCGTTTTTTTCATTAAGCGTTTTTCATCATAATGTATCTCTAATGATCACACTGATACAATGCGACAAGAAAGTCTCTAGGCACAGAGTTGAATCTGGGGCCTCCTATTAAAAATTGCTTTGAGCAACCATATAACTTGGAAACAAGAGAAGGGGATAACACTTCCATCATTTATTATGATTGTGGTGAGTACGCGATTTAAGTTTTCAAGCTGTAGCTCATGCTACCGATTCTGTTGCAACAACTCTCATCAGCAAGGTGGGACTGCGGAGAGACTTTCCTGGTGCGCTATATTGTTCGCACAGTGGCTGGCGAAAGTTACCCCCCTTGCGTCCACTACATCAGGAAAGGCGAGAAAAAAGGGGTCGATCTTTTCCTCGTACGTGCTCGGAAATATTTGTTCGTTTCTGATACCGGGACACTTTGACGTTGATCCATTGGCCCACCCTGTACATTGGCTGAAACTGCTGATGTTTGTTTAGTTTACTTCCAATAGGCTGCCAGCGATACCAATAGAATTTGATACCTATCAGGGAGTGCCACAACATGAGGGTTTAAGTAATATTTGTCCATTGCTCGAAGCGTTCCCTGGATAAACAAATATCGGTTCTTACTTCGCACGTCGGAGTCGTTTAAGAGTTTACTTTTAGCTGAGTATTTAGCTACGACTATTTATAGATCGTAAGTATGTCACTATGGATTTTCTGCCCATTTCAAATACATGCACATTAGCCGAGGCCGAACCTACACTCTGGGAGTTGAGAGGCCAGTAAGCTAACTACTATCGAAATGTGTGCTCGGAATTGAATGTGGCACTTATCAACTTTAATGTGCTGTGGCGCAACCAGGATTATTCTGTGTATGTGTGTGTGGGGGGGAGTAGAGTTAGCTTAGAGCAACAATTGTTGCCACAGCAGTGACCCTGAGGGAGGGAGGTCCTAGTATTCGAATCTCGATCAGGCCGGATTATTCGACCCTAGCGAAGTAGCTATACCGAATTCAGCCGCTGCCTAGAGAAGAAATCTAGCAATCGGCTGCTCTGATCGGTTGATTTCCATGGTTTCTTCGAACAATACCAGGCGAATATCGAAGCAGATTCGTAACAAACGCGCCACTAACCGCGTGCGATCTTTCCTTCCTCATCCTTGTCCACTACTCTCTTCGTACAAATACAGATACACACACACACAATCACACATGTTGGGAGAACAGTCAGACGTTTAGACCTGTTGTTTTGTTTCGGGTTTGTTTTCTTTTCAAGAATTTATCTAAACTAGGTTTTAAATTTATTTTACTTGTCAGTTTATAGTTATTTATAATGTACTCAATTGAGATATTGACTTTCGTAAGTATAGAAAATTTGCAAAAAAATATATTTGCGATAATGTCCTCGTCTTCGGGGAGAGCCACGACAACTCTAACCCTCACCCCGCGGGCACGCCAATGTCAATGAGCCCATCCTGAAGCACCCGAGAGCGCACAATACGCACGTAACCTCGAAGGGGCCGCAGTCGTCGGAGGTGCGCGACCTTAAGGACGCGCGAGCGCCGTGTCCTACGCGCTTTCGGCGGCGGCGGCGGCCGCGGCGCGTGGCGCGTGACGTGCCAGGGCCCCGCCCCCGCGTGCCTGCCTGCCTGCCGTGGCCGTGCATGCGCGACGCGCGGTTGCGTGCGCGCGCGCGTGACTGACGTACAAGGCAGTCGGCGCGGTGTGGCGCGGCGCCGCGGACGTGCGCCCATTCGCAGAGCCGCCTGCCGCAGCGGCCGCCCGCGTTGCTTCATCGCGCAAGAGGCCCGACGAGCGGAGCGACCGACGCGACGCTAGCGAAATATTTGTCCGCTGTTGGTTAATGACTAGGAGACGGACTTTGATGACCTAAAACATTGCCAAAAATGATCTGTTGACACATTGCCGGCCAAATTACTTCGAATTTGGCGCCTTGTCTTCTTTAACAGGGCGTTTGCTGTTCTTTGAAGACGTTTCAAAGGAAACGAATATACATTTTAAACTTGGCGCCTTTCGAGATGACTTAATTTTACTCCATAAGCCGCGCAACAAAGTCCTTCTCTGCCCGACCAAACATTCATTTATCATTGGCAAGTCCTTGGAGCTCGATGATAACTTTTTCTTATTAGTTTCGGAAGCAGTATACAGAAAGATCGCACCAAGCGTCCATTGGATGGGTTAAAAAGTCCGCTATAAAATCGCGCATTGTCGAAATGTAGATTGTTTCTATCGCAGACGCCGGCTCGCCTTGTTGACGACAAAGCTATGCGGAAAGCTGAATAAAGCGTTTTTGAAACGTCTCTTAGGTTCGACCAGACGTGTGTGCACAGCACTGATTGTAGTAAGAAACACGTAGCTAAGAATACCACGGATTCTCGTAAGTAAAGTGAGTCAGTTTTTCGTTTGGAACTAGAGGTAACTGGTGACAACTTCTTCAATGCTCGTTAATTCTTTCTCAAAGCTCACAATCCTTTGTCATTGTGTGTCATCCTCTTTTACTCAGAACACTCTGTCTGAGAAATAACAACTGTAAATAGAAGAGGCTGAGTTTCAATTGCCCATTTCCATCAACAATGCTCTCCCAACCTTTCTTCAACTATTTCGCCGCCTGAACATGATCGATGAATTGCTCTTAAGATGCGTTAAAAATGCCCTAAAAACAAAGACAAATGACGAAAAAACATTTTCATCAAAACCATTTCAGATGAACAACTCAAGCTGTTGGGTATGTTACTGATGTAATCGAGACCATCTTTCTTTTTCAAGTGAACTCAGCCTTCAAACTTTTGGTTTGGGTTATTCTTTAAAAGTAAATATCCGCCTTTATTTATCACGAAATCGGCTGAACTGTCAATGGCGCCGATAGGTGTCACAAGAATATTAGAATACACAGTACTTACAACTGCTGACATTGCAATATTTGATGATAGAAATCGAATATACATCTCAGAAAGTCTGTGGTGGACATTTGTTACTTCTCTCAAGTATTGTTTGAAGCAAGTACTATTAAAATGATATTAAAATCTATAAGACCAGCGAAAAATTCATTAAAATTAAACGGTAAAAAATGACTTATTAGTCGAAATATACGAAAAATTAAAAAAGGCATGAAATTTTGTGTAATTTTGTTGCGTCATAACCTAAAATGAATTTCTGTACTAAACGGCATTGTTCCAAAGTGAAAAGAAAAAAAGATGACGTTTGATTAATAATCCGCCCCCTAATGATGACGTTGGTGCAAAAGCAATGTGCAATGCAATTGCAATTCTTAAGTCTAGTAGTTCTGAAATGTGATACAAGCTTTTCTTAAGATCAAAGTTTAGACGGATCGCTTTAAGATGTAACCCAATTTGAGAACCTATTAGATCTTAAATCTATTTCGGACTCAATTACGCCTGAAATAGATTTGAGGATTAATATTACTAAATAATTTTCAATATGCGGAGAAATTGAAAGACAACTATGCAACCTGCTGCCATATGGGAGTGTGATTTCGTTAGATATCCAGGAACACGGAAAAATATGAATAGACAACGAAACACTCTATTTGGACTGAAAAATGCTAAAATTGAAGTACGTTAATATGCAAAAAATTCTCATAACTAATGTTACGATTATATTCTCTTACTCAGTGCATCACTGTTTATCACTTAGCTGTCATCATGCGTTAAGGAAAAAGTTTATGAATAGTCAATTTTTGCTGCTCCAGGGACCACTTTTCCATCCATTCGACACCAGCATTTTTGCTGATGCAGATCTTTAGTCTGTAAAATTACCCTTAGACACACTTTGAATATCGCTGCTTGTAAATGTTTGTTTTTTCTCCCAGATATGATTTTCTCCCAAACATGAAGTTCTGTAGCTAACGTCGAAACGACGTACTTCAAACGAATCTCGAAAACAATTTGCAGGGCTCTTCAACGCGCTGTACCGACTCTTTCAGTGCGATCTTCGTATGTATGTATTTCGCAAATTAGGATAGGATTAATCAGACTTTCTCAGGCCTTGTTTTTGTTCACGCCTGGAATACGTGACCATCGTATTTCTACACGAACTGTTGTAGTGTAATTTCGCTATCTGAGCAGATCAAATTGGATTAACATTGGATCGTGTAGAATGGGTTTCGCCAGCATCAAAATCTTGCCCTATAGAGCTGAAGCATGTCTTAATTGGTTTGGTTCTGAGGAGTTCCTGCCTCGTTGATAAAGTGACTCGCACATTGACCTCGTAATCAGTAATGAACGAGTCCGTTGCTGCTTGTAAATCTCGCGTGTTGAGGGACAAACACTCGCTACCGGGTCCCAAGCGGCCACTAGTACGTTGAGTAATCGTTGTCTGCGGCCCATTGCAGACTTTCCCCGCTGTCGCCTCACTCCCCACCTTCTCTTCCTCCCCCCTCGACTTTCAACGCCCCCACAGGCCTCCCGGCGCAACGCCAACGACGATGCGACCTTCCACAACCAGCGATACGACAACTTCAGTGCACACGCGTCAAAGAGCGATCTGCACATCCACCACCTTGTAACAACAGCAATAATAATAATATTAATAATAATAATAATAATATAATAATTAATAATTAACCTATTGGGACAGACCCATAATAAAAGTTAAAACTGTGGCTTTCAGTAGACCAGATATGGTTTTGATTGACAGGGACAAGAAAGAAGCTGTGCTTGTTGATATTGCCTTACCGTTGACACGCAACCTAAAAAAAGCAAAGGCCGAGAAAATTACTAAGTATGAAGATCTTGATGTGGAAACTACAGAGTGTAACGATATATCCCCTTGCTATTTCGGCTGAAGGGTGATAACAAACAATTTCAGAAAAAAATCTCTCTCTAAAGGGATACCCGGGCTAAGATCACCATAGCTGACTGGTCTTCTCACGGGTATGGTAGGGTAAAGCGTTTGTGTAAGTAAGGGGTGGGGATAGGTCAAAAAGGAGAATGAAAAAATCGCGCGCGATCCGTGACTTGATTGTTAGGATCGGGCATTCGCCTACAGTATTGATTGGAGAAACCACAAAAAGCTACAGAGTAAAGCAACCAGCCGCTAGAATTTTCTTATCCAGACAGCAACTGAAATAACCGATACATTTAAGCGAGTGTCGAAATCCCCTCCTCCCCTTCGGGGCACGAAAACTAGGCACTGCAGAGAAATAGGCAACGATGCTCTGGGTTGGCAGCCGGTGCCAACATTGGAATTTCTACTATTCCCACTTTTATTGTAACTGAATTTTAAAAAATGAGACATACTTTCAAATTGGTTAAACAATATGAACCCGTACCACCATCGTTTCGCAAATTTACACACCTCATTTTTTGTTCTTAAATAAAATGAAAGGGGTAGATTAAAAAATGAACATCCTCGAAACACTAACGTGCATATAGTATGAGTTTGTAACAAAAAACATCTGCGTTCGTCAACGGACATCAATTGCCATGAAGCCTTTTTCAATGTTATGTTGTTGGTACTTCTTGAAGATGCAACCGTATTTGTTCACCAAATCGCGAGAAAAGCACGTCTAGAATTTGTAACAGGTTATATTCATGTTTTTTCTATTTTCTTCTTTGCTTAAACCCATTAGGAAGAAAATCAATGGTGAGAAGAGTCTAATTTCATTTCTTATACATTTTAAGTCGTATAAAACACTTAATGACAATACATAGAAATATCAGCCACTTTAATGACTCTGTAATTATGTAATCAGATTCTCTTTACGTAAAGGACAATTAAAGATCACTATCGGGCTGCAACAGAAAAAAATACTACTGTATATAACCACGCCAAATTTTTTTTTTTGTTTTCAAAACGTAGCACGCACTCTGCTCAGAAACAACCAATAAAATACTCTCACAAAACTCTAAAACAGTCTTCACGAACACTGATATAACAAAGTGCAATGCAACAGTTATTTTCATATCAACACGTGAATTACAAATATTTTACGGTGGGCGACCTTTTTCTTGAAATCTAGTAGTGGCACGACACCAGCTGTCGTAAGCAGTGACGCACTGAGAACAGTAATTCAGTCATTAAGTGAAATACGACATTTTACGACCTTTTTTATAACAGGCTTAATTATCGGGGTAGGTGCACGTTACTTTTTCTATGGGAGGGGGATTCAGCATTTTAATGCTTATTCCATTTGTATACCCCAGTGTTGTTATCCCTCTGAGATGGGAAGAAAATATAATGATGAAATAGTCACACACACAACACAACCTTGCCCGAGGCGGGACTCGACACCGCGATCTTCGGGTATAAGACCGCTACGGCACTACTGCCTTAGCGATCTCGGACATCAGATGGGCTGTATTATTATTATTATTATTATTATTATTATTATTATTATTATTATTATTATTATTATTATTATTATTGGCATTGTTGCACTCACGAAATGAGGTTTGGGGTCATAATGTCTGTTGTAAAAAAAAGGTCGTTGTGTTTCACCTAAAGATACAAAACAGACGTTAATATATCAATACAGTAATTCAGTCAGTTCGCACAATATGAGAATATGTAGAATAAAGATTTATCTATGATATCATCATGATAATCACATTTGTTACTTCCGTTCTTTTTCAAATATTATACTTCTGATAAAGATAATTAAAGATGTTGTCATTGCCAACAATAAAGTATGATTTGATGTAAAGAATTTATTCCCTAGTACTCCAACTGCTGATTGTAAATTACTTTTACGTATTTACTAACGACAAATCATCATGCCCATACCCGTTCGAGATGAACTCCAAAACCCCTTCAACTTATGCATGGACCAAAATTACTTCACTTTCGACAACAAATTTTATAGACAAACTCAGGAATTCCTATGGGCTCACTCTCTCTCCTCTCCTTGCAGAGTATATTATGGACGCTTTCGAACAGACCATCTCTCCTTTCAAACCATCCACTTCTCAAAAACATTTACATATTGGCACGTTACGTAGAACGACATCCTTGTTCTCTGGACGCGTACGACTAGACCAAATTGACCTGTTTACTGACTTTCTCAACAGCACACATCCTAACATTAATCACCACAGAACTACAGAAAGAAGACAAATCTATCATTTCCTAGACCTAAATATAACATATCCGAAAACAAACATACTTTCAACATTTTAAGAAAACGACATACACAGACACTGTCATTCCACACTCTTCACAACATCCTATTCAACATAAACATTCGCCTTCCACTAAATGATACACAGATACTGCCTCCCCCTGACAAAATTCATTTTCTGGAAGAACTGCACACCAATACAACACATTGCTATGTCTAAACGTTTACAGTACAGAACTCATTAACAACATACTACGCCGCAAAATAGTCAAACAAAAACAAAAAATGTACACTACACTTTCTCCTATAACAAAAACCGACAAGTACACTTGCTTACCTTATTTTGGACCCTTTCAGAAAAAGTCGCAACACAATATTCAAAAGCAGGTATAAAAAGTTTCATTCAAATCACAAGAATTCCTCAAAAAAATGCCTGTCCCCCAAAAAAACACACAGATCTTCTAGAAAAAAGCGGCGTCTACTTCTCTAAATTCCACGACTGCGAAGCCAAATATATTGGTCAAACAGGCAGAACTTTCAATACCAGAAATCAGGAACACATTACATGCCTTGGGAACACAAACACCTGTAAATCTCACTTTGCCAATTCATTACTCCAGACAGGCCATACATTCAATCCCACACAGACATTCGTATACTGAAATAAAAAACCACTACCACACCAGCAACTTTAGAAACCTACCACATTCATTTAAATAAAACTTTATTAAATGAAAACATAAACAATAGTCCTTCTCCTCTATTACTAATACACTATCTACTAGACACCACTCCCACACCACACCTGCCGGGGCGGCACGTGACAGCGCACCGCACCCAGGCATTGCCCTCCTCCCCACCCACGGCGGTTACTTAAGCCCTCCTCGCCGACCCCGCGTAGTCGTTTTGGTGGCTTCCATCTACAGGTAAGGAGGGCTCACTTACATTTCTATGTTTTCTGTATAAAATATATTTTTACGTGTCCTATTTATTTTCATTCGCTTTTCTTTAGTATTAATGGCTAACCCCCCCCCCACTTTTTCTTTCTCCGTTGTCAAATATATATTTCCAAAAAAAATTGTAATTATTGTAAACTTATCATAATCTTGTTGTTAATTCACGTTTTAATGTTTTTGTTTTTTTGTGTTTTTCTTCTTGCTATCAGACAACTGATGATGATGGCTAAGCCATCGAAAAGCTGCTTTGAATAAAAACATTGTTTGCAATGACAACATCTTTAATTATTTTAAAAATGCCAAAGATATCCTACCACAACACCTATATTCTGATAAAGAGTCTGCTATAGCGATTTCGTAAGACAGGATTGTCGAAAATTCTCATACAAAATTAATTATTAAATTATAACTTTAAATTTGTGCATATTTTCACGTAAGATTACATAATATCTAAATTATAAAAGCGGATCTAGGGATATATAACTTATTTTTCAGAATTTCTCAAAATAATCGATGAAACAAAAAAAGGTAAAATAGTAATCAATGTCGCAGAATTCTAATTTTTGGATCTGATTAAGTATGTATTTGCTGGAAAGTTATAACTGAAAAAAGAGACAAAGGAAAATAAAATTAGAGAAACACCTTAACACACTTTTATGTACTTTCTTTCTGAACAAAAACCAGTTCGGCCACTCACATTCTCAGTGTAGGAGACTAGTTTTTTAGACAATTTCTCACGGAAACAAGTAGCGTGTAAATTTTATTATAATGGTTTATCTGTAATGCACAGTAAGAACAACAGCGCAAGAAGTCCTTATACGCAATCTTAGATTGTGTAATATATTGACATGACGTCAATATTACTGAATTCTGATGGTCGCAGGAAAGGAAAGGAATCTGCAGCCTACGAGCTTGTGACATATATCTTAAATACCCAGGGACACGCGAAAAATCCAAAAACAATATTACAATTTTAATGTTAACAGAAAAATTCAAACATTTGAACATGTGGAGGAGATATGTTTAGAAAACGGTACATATATTTTTAGTAGTATGCCGGACAGCCGGAATATAGAGAATCACACATTGCCCTTGGCAACCTCCCTCAGTATAACTGTGCTGTAATATAGCTGTGCTGCGTAAAATGGCAATTTGTCACTTTCCCTGGGTTCCAACGATACATGCAATGCGTTCGTAAACGGTCTCCGCACTGAAAGTTTTGCCGCTTTGTCCCAGAGATATTCGGTGATGACAACGTCAGCCAATCACAGCTATGATTGGGGATAGGTAGCTGACATGACAAAATAACATCGCGATCACGCGTTCGCTAACCTAAGTAACCACAAAATAAATGGGTGATTTAAGCTCATGTAAGACATTCCACTCCGTGTCCATCACCTCTCGAAATTTTCCTCACGATGCATCATCGACCCTTTGTCCTCTCGCGCTGAATCGCAGTCAAGGTTCTACAATCTTATGCTAATGATCGACCTTTACCCGTTACAAATTGAATTGCGCTGGCAGCCATTTTGGGTCAAATTTACGCGATTCATTCAAATACCTCTCATTTTTACATACTTTTCCGCAAGTTTGCAAAGGCTTGAATTGTTATGAATGGAAGTTAAATCGAAATACTATCCCAATGTTTAAACGTAATAAGCGAAACTGGCATTTAGAGGTCGTTCTTTATATTGAATACAACGGAATCAAATAGTAAAATATTTACTAATAATAACTACATCAATAAAATGAACGTTATCCTTATTGTTAAGGAGAAATTTGTAAATAATCACTTGCACTTAAAATACATTAATTTCATAATTATTTATGATCACCCTATTAATTAATAAAAGTAATTAACACATTCAGTAGGCAACATCACATAGTTAAAATATGTACTTGCTGAAATTATTGTGTGCAGTTTTCGTCATGCAATTTGTACATCCATACGCCTTCACGTCTTTCATTTTACATCTTGTTTCCTTATAGAACCTTCCTAGACCTTATAGACGCCAAAAATCACTCATATGAGAATGAAATACTGCTCCTGTGCAGCATGGTTGCCTCCAACATAGCTGCCAATGAACGATTTAATTTACAACCTACTCTAGCGCTATGGTGAGTCTAGCACACGATGACAAGATCTTTGATCGGAGTCATCGCTTCTCCTACGGCAGCGCTGCTCGAGTGGGCGCCTCTTTTCATGCCTTGGCCCACGCCATCTACGGGCCACCAATGTACTCGGCTGCCTACTGAGTTAGCCCGAAGGTTCAGGTGAAGTGATACATCGAAAATAAACCATCGATGTTAATCATGCATCGACTTTAATAGGTCGAGGTTTCCACAAAAACAACGTTGTTTTCAAAACATGGACATCGATATGCGCTCGGGCGCGATCGACTCCGTCTAGTGAAAAGAGAGTGGCCCGAGGGCCTCGAACGCTGTGGCCTTCATTATTCCATCTGAGCAGCCCTGTTTTACTGGACGCGCCGTCGAGTCGGGTCAGTTGTGGCTTCCGGAGTTGGATTCTCACAGCAAGGACGATTGCTATTGGTCAGCAGGAAAGAGATGACGAGCGAGGACAGAAAAAAATGTTGTGAAGACACTCAAAGCGAGTCTTGAACCGCGTAAATCTTTTGTTGATCGTGTCGTAAAGTGTAGTAACGCACTGCGTTCTGGATAATGTAATTTTGAAAGTTTGTATACTTCTTGTACATCCTGTATTTCCTGATATTGCGTTGGAGCGTCTGTTCAATTGGAGCTATTTCCATCAGAGAAAATGAATTAGGAAATGGAAAAAAAATTAAATGTTTCTGGAACTTTAACAGTACATTTTTTAGTTAAATTGCTTCACAAATATATTGTGATTACAATTATACTTCATGGATGTTTTATCAGTAATATTATGAATAATATTTAAAAAATGAAAATGGAAAGATTCGCTTTTTCTTAGGTGAATGAAATATGACATTCTTAAGGAACTTTTTTATGTAGTAGTCACGTAAGATATGAGAAAACATGAATGAAGCTCCAAATCCGGCGATTCTCTCCAATTTTCATCAGATTGTTTTCATGTATTATTTTTTACATATTTTGCATGTAATTTGTTTGCAATAATAGGCTTTTATTTTTTAATAATGTTCATTGGTTGTCTTCTTAAAAACAATTAATACTCAAGGCTCTTTTTGAACGGAATATTTTGTTACCAACTATCGAACCACCTTCAGAGGAATATTTCGTAATAAAACGAGATAAAACGAATTCAAGAGAGTGAAATATTACATAAGGTAGAGGAAAACTTGCATTTCCTTGACCAAGTCCCACAACCGGTTGCATGTATAGTAGCGTAATATACACAATTAGCCCGTCTGTGAACAGAATTACGACGTAAGGAGTGTATTTAACCGGGAAATAAGGCATTTTAAATAGAACAGAACAGATATTGTTCCAAGTACTGCAATTGGATGAGGGGAAGAAATTTGTTTTCTTTAGAGTGTAAATAGCTCCTTTTGAACACACTCTTCATATAATTTTGTACTTTTCTCCATTCTTCCTTCATCCCAGATTGCTAGTGCTGATATGCATTCAACCAAGTAACACTGGATTATTTTATCCCTTGCTCATCAATTAATGTCACTGCTGTGCCTTTGACCGGGAGGTCCTGGGGTACGATCCAGACGGTATCAGGATTTTCGACTCTTACTAGATAGGTAGGTCATATTCAGCATATATCTGCAGGATAATTCCAGCAGCCGCCTGCTCTGATCGGTAATTTTCCATAGTTTCTCCGATGAACGCCAGGTGAATGCCAAAGCAGTACCCTAACAAACTAGACACGGACCGCGAGCGATGTTTCCTTCCTCTTCCACTTCCTATCGTCACCCCTTACTTACACACAAACACACACTTCCATGCACTACACTACCAAACACGCCGGAAGGCCAGTAGGTAGCTTCGGGCTTGGCCTCATTGAGGCAATGCCACGCTGCACTGGTTGGGGGAAAATTCCCGCCAGCCGATATAGGTCGGCGCCGGATCTCGCCTGCCAACGGGGAAAGACCATCGCCATCTCCCGCGATGCAAACACGTACTACGCTTAAGAAAAAATTACTTTAGCTGTTGATACGCCCAACATCACTTACCAATCAATCTATTCTTCCTATGTCGCGGATCGGCAGTGTTGTTCATATAATTACAACCAAATAACAGCTTTTTTGTGCCTTGCAGAGACGCTGCCCGACGCCCTGAAGACGGGCTGCACCAAGTGCAACGAGAAGCAGAAGACGCTGGCCGAGAAGGTGATCAAGCACCTCACGGCGGCGCGCAAGGCCGACTGGGAGCGGCTGGCCGCCAAGTACGACCCCGAGGGGCTGTACAAGCAGCGCTACGCCGAGCTGCTCGCCACCGTCACGCCGCCCTCCGCGTAGACGCCTTCAAACCATCACGCACGGGGCGATTGTTAAACAATAGTGTTTGTTCCAAAATCTCGACGCTCGTTTCAAGCTCCTGAACCACCTACGAGCAAACGTTTGAAACCTCTCACAATCAATAAATACAGCCACAATTATATTATTTTAGAGAAGATTCATTGTATGCATTTACTGACTCATATTTAGGTTATTCTAAACATTATAGTAGTTATGTTCGTTAAAAATATCACAAAACTTATAAAAACTTGTATTGGCTGGATTACCTTCTCAATAAGTAGATGAAAATGCTTTTTCATTAGATAAAAAAACTAAAAACAATTTTAAAGCAATTCTATAAACACTACAGCCAAAAGAGATGAGCTCTCTATTGCAAAGAGAATAACAAAATCTTCCGCCATATTTGTTTGGGATTTTGGAACAAACTGGATTGGTTGTCATTGCATAACCTGGGGAACGCTTCTTACTTACGTGTACTTCTCACTTTGCGTTCTTGTTACTTGCATCAAGGAGGCTGACTCCCTTTGCAGCTTCCACGTTTTCTCATAAGAGCTTCATTTTTGGCCTTTGAAAGTAGCTGGCGTTGGAACAAATTAAAAATTATTTTGTTTATCATTGAATTTTGTCATATTAAACTTTTTTATCAAATTGAATTACAGTGAAACCGACGTCGAATATACACTGTGGACTTAATAAGCGAGAAGTTTTACTAGTTTTCTGAAAAAATGTGTTACAATTTTCTATCTTTAATTTTCGGTGAGTTAATGGAAGCGTACGATGTAATATATGCTATCAACTACAAAGTACTCACATCTCTCATGAGGGATGGAATACTTAATAGCAAATAGAATCGCTGTTCTCTCATATGGTGGCGTTTTTTGTAGATACTTGTACAAAAGTAAACTACGGTTGTAGTTTTTAGTATCTTTTTCATATGAATGTGCTCACATATTAATGATTCTAAAATGTGAATTGAGTAAGACCCACTTGACAGCTCTCAATGTGATAAATATTCAAGAATTGAAGATAAATTACGATTTGTAGTGTCGTAAACTAGCGAATACGAAATTTCATTAGAAGTAGTGTGATAATGATAAAAGTAGTATTGTCAAAATTGCACTCATTATTTTTCAGTCAGATGAAACGTTTCAAATCAAACGCCATTACGTCGACTATTTCAAATTGTTCATTGCATTTTTATCTCATTTCCAGCCTTGGCACTGTAAATTTTCCATACGACGTGTATGCAAAAGTATCTTTACTATTTTAGCCTTTTTCCATTCAAAATTTGATGTGTGAATATGAAGATTCTGTTATCTCAGATACCTCTATAAATGAAAGCGTTATGTTCTAATCATCATTTGTTTTCACTGGTGACGTTTTGGCGAAATATCATTTACTTTTCCTTTATTTCTGAAGCCAACGAGTAAATTACTTGAAATGTTTTGTTGGTATTTTATTTGGGAAAACTAGTTGTATAGGATAAAAAATCATATTACATTCCAAAAACAGGATTATTTATATTGTCTTCCTGATTATGTAAGATAGTACGTACGTTTTTGTGATGGTGTTTCATTATGCAAAATCGGATGGTACATTGTATTATTGTATGTTCATTTCATCACATGTTTCATTATAAATCTGTATTATTTTTCCGTCTAATGGATGAATTATTTTTTCATTTGTTTGGAAACTTACAAGGAGAAATTTAATATTGTATTCTCCTGCTCTATTTACAGTTTGCAAAGCAAAAAGACTGACTGTGTTCTTGGTTATTTGAGTTGAAAACTTGTCAATATTTTATTTAATAAAAAATTCTTAAAATTAAATTGTTTTTCATTTTTAATAACTACAGAAAAGTAGGACAAAAAAGGTAAACATTTTTATGACAAGCTTCTAGCAAGTGTCTTTTTTCTAAAATAAATGTAACAAAACACACAAAGTTATTTTCACAAAATATCGTTTAATAGCTTGGATTATCTTACACAAATACAACATATTATATCATAGAACAACGCTTGCTTCCAACAAAGGAGACATCTCTCAGAGAAGATTTAACATTTCATGTCCTGAAGCCGAACGCAAACAGCGAAACAGACAATGATTGTATCGCCTAAGATTTATAAATAATTGCTCTCATCATATTCATACAGGAAGCTGCTCCTCAAAGACCGACGATTGGGCTCTCCGCCGTTGGGCGGCTGGGGGAGGGGGTAACCGATGCAAGGACATGGGTGAACTTTTCGCCGCCTACGCGTGTTCAAACAAGGAAGTTCCTGCACTAGATTACGTCGCTTATTAGTGGGAATTTCAAATGCAAACAGATAACCAATGTAAAATTAATTACCATCATCACCTTGTTATGTGTAATTCAAACAAATATATGAAGATTTTTTTCCAAACATTGCAACTTTTATTTTATATTTTCGTCGTGTTAGTTTTGGTTCGTCATTGTTGAAAATTGTCACTGTACGCCTCTTTCAAAACGTTTCTCACTAGGCGCTAGTCGTTTGTCATGCGGCCAGCGACATCTGGCCTGGCATTTCAAACGAAGTGCCCGTGTTGTGGTGACGTGGTTTGGGACGTATGTGGTGCCGCGCAGAACGAGCAAATATCGGCGTTGTCAGAGCAGCACGCTCACGTCCTTGCATCGTGGGAGGGGTTGCAGGCCGTTTGCTCAGCCTGACCGACCTCCCTTGCGGTACTTGTTCTCGACGGCCGTGTACACGCGCGGGTAGTTCCTCTGCAGGAAGCCCACGACGAGGCGCGCGTTGGACGCTTGCTTGGGGTTGCACCGGCCGCAGTTGTTGTTGAGAATCTCCGGGATGGCAGCTGCAACAGGAACAAGTATTTTTTACTTATTTTTACATTAGAAAAGTGCGCATTAGTCGCATTGTATAAATTTAAAGGATCAAAATGCTTTACTGGAAACATTACGACTATCTTCGGTGCTAACAATGTGAAGAATTATTACGGAAACTTCGAGCGTTGAAATTTCTTTTATTATTATTATTATTATTATTATTATTATTATTATTATTATTATTATTATTATTATTATTGATTCCTAGTTAGTGATTCCGGACACGTATATTTCTAAGGTCATTAGTCCCGTAAGTGTACTGCACGTTTTTGCTCGGGAGGTGGTGATGATCTTCCCCCACTGTATCCCGCTGTATCCGGCGCCGACCTAGCGTAGGCTATAGTAGTTTTCCCCAATTAGGTATCTCCCACCAGCAGGGTACCGCTCTAGCCAGGACAAGCTCTAAGCTCTCGACCTGTCTTCCGGCATGATGTAGTAATGTGTATGTTAGTGTAAGGGGTGAGGATGGAACAAGTAAGAGTTAGGAAGGATCGCCCCTGGTCTGTGGCCCGTTTGTTAGGGTACTGATCCAGCATTCGACTGGGGTTGATTGGAGAAACCTTTCATTCATATGTGAACGAATATTTGGTAGCAAATAAAATCCATCTCGTGGTATTGTCCACATATACACAACTCAATTCTGCATGAAGTATTCAACGGAACTATTGTTAGAAAAGTAACGTTTAGGAGAGTACTACTTATGGTCATGTTACGTTTCTTGTATATACTGTCTTCCATCACAATGTTTTTCACTTTTATCTATTTTAGGCAAATATTAGCAACAACCACTTTCTGTGTTGGGTTATCATCGAATGTTTTCAAGAAATATGGTTTAATCTTTTTATCTCTTTCGCCCTCCATGTTTATTACATCCCATCAAGTATGACATCATTAGATGTTATCATGTATGATAAATATATATCCAATTAACGATTCTAATGTACGGGAGAATAGCTGACAATGAAATGAAGGCCATACTAATTAATTTTTTATTCCAGAGTTCTCAGGGCACGATAACAAAGACGGATGCAGTCACATTTTCTCAAATAAAAACGAAGTAAACACTTCATTAAAGACAAAATACATTCCGTTTACAGTTTTTCTGCTTTCTGCAGTCAGAAACTTTGTCTACAGTAGGGATTACTCATGAATAGTATTATGTAGACACTGCACCATTACACTGATTTAATTTTATACCAATGATTGTTTTTGGCAAGAGTTTCAACAAATGTTACATAGAGTATTTTATGACCCCCCGTTTTTAATTTTCTTAAATTGTAAAATTTGTGTATGTAGCTCCAAAACGTTTTAGTGTAATGACTCCGGCGCCAACCAAATCCAGCACTTGACCCTACTTTTTTTTCAAACTCGCCACTGAGAAGATTGAGTCAATTTACTCCACAGTTACAAAATATTAAGAGTGATCAAAATTGGTATGAGAAGAATCATAAAGATAACAATAGATATTAAGAAGTTAATGTGTATGCTCCCCTATTCTCATGCATACCTTGAATATCTAGATTAATCTCAACTGATCTAAATATTTCTTGTCTTTTAACACCACAAGTCAAGATCAGGCTTTTTTGTCTGCAGAATTAGATATCCTGCTAACGGCGCACGAGCAACTTCTCCACAGGCTTCAACCTCCTGTAACTTGTAACTTCCCCTCGTAACCCCTACGGCGAACGTGTCAAACTACGCACGCACGAACTACTCTCCTGCCCCGGAATTCCGGAGCCCCTGAGTACGTACGTTCCCCTCTCCGCTTTCATATTTCCCCTCCAAATTCTGCAAGTTGGGTTGAATATGCGCAAGGGGAAAAGTAAGCACAAAGCGTCCTCGAAATATCACGACGAATGGTGGCTTCATACGGAATCATTTTGATTCATACGAAATGCTTTCTATTAAAAAACCGACATTTTATCATGTTTATATAGTAATTTATTATAATTTATTTTATATATTTTTTTAATAATTTCTGGTGTGATAATTTTGCCAAGGGCAGGAATGTTTGAGCGGGAAATTCATTGATTGTTTTCGATGCGTTTTATTAAATTATTCTTTGTTTGTTGTATTTAGCAATTATGTGAAATAAATTAACAAGTCTCTATGTAGTCTACCTCATCTAGCAAACCCTCCTTTTGCATTTATTATCTATTCTTGTATATAATTCTTACGGACGTACAGCTCTTTAAATGACAAGAATCGTTGTTCCTTACCTGAACGTAGTAAGTTAATGCAATTATTACACTCTTAAGTGAACACGATTAAGAAATCAAGATTTTTTCAATTCAAAATACTTAATTTTATTCGTTATTGATAAGTTAAAATGTTACTGATATATTTCATTTATAAAGATTCATATTTGCTTCACTACAGGAAATGAAAGTTAATAATACTAAATGTGGGGCAATAACTGTCAACTGACTCCTTCAAAAGACTGTATGGGCGAGGAATCCAGTGATGTACCCACACCCCAGAGCAACTTGTTCATCCCTTACTTTTAAATCATGCGCCAGTTTCTCTGAACGCAGAGTCCGCGAACTCTAGTCACTGTTTGATTGCCCGCGACCTTGACAACCCTCCCCTATCACCGGTAACACTCTCCTCCGAGAAGTTGCAGTAGTGCCCGCAATTGCCGAAGGAGAGCTGCAATCGACACTCCCTATTCCTCCGCTATGCCGCTTCGCGCCGGTTTCAATTGCTCATCTGAACAGCAGTCACCGCTACCCACCTGGAGCGGGCCTTGCCAAAACAGTCGCCCCCTTGTAGCTGCGAGGAGCAAGTGCAACGCGTCTGAGAAGACGAGGTTCGTATTAGGATGTGCCGCCACCATCCGTCCTAAGAAATGCGCGAATGTTTCACACCGTTGTGTTAATATTCTAGATCAAAGAATACTCGTCTTGGTTTCGTATTATCGGATAATGCGCACACAATAAGATCAATGAGGTGTTAAAATGACCGGGTATGACTTACACTAATAGCCATTTATTTAAAATAAAGAACTGTATCAGTAAAGATAAATTTATTACTTTCATTCATACGATTATGAATAAATAGAATAATTAAATTTATTGTACACTTTTTTAGTCACTCGAATTTCTTTGCACATTTTCTGTTCAATAATTCTTTCAATGTCACTTTCACACAGCTCTTCAAGAGGGCCTTTGACATGGATGAAATATTGTGTTTTAGATATCCGTATGAAAATTAATTGTTCACAGAGGAAGGCTGTGCCAAACACACCGAAAAAATTTGAAGCTATCGACTGCCAAAACCTTTCTTTGGAAAAGCTAAAATAGAATTCTCCCAGATTTTTGAATAATTTTGTAGTCAACAAAGTCTTTCTCCTTTTTATGTCAGTTTTATCTGTAATATTTTCATCTCTTTTAGTTGGTTCTTAGGAACACATATCGAACACTTGTTGAAACCGATGAAGTTGCGAGAACATTGCGGCGCGTCAGACCCCCTCCCCCTCCGAGAGAAAAGGTACGAGGAGAAAGGGTGAAGGGAGAAAGTGTCCCTCGGGATGTTTCCGGTATTTTGCGAGCCAGCTCCTTGGGCAGACCGATTGAGGTGGCTCAGGGCATGAACTGATGTTACTGCAGTGCCTCCGATCGCGAGGTTCTAGAGTTCGAGCCCCGTCTCAAAGGATTTTCGACACAAGCTGGATAGCTTCAACTCAGCCGCTATCTAGAGGAAAATTCCAACGGCCGGCAGTTCTGCTCGGTAGTTTTACGTGATTTCTCCGATTAATACCAGGCGAATGCCAGAGACGTACACTAACAAACGAGGCACGGGCCGCACGCGATCGTTCTTTCTGGTCCTTGTCGTCTCTCCTGTAACCCCTTACTTACACATTTCCAAGCACTACACTACATTATCGCACATGTCGGGAGACCAGTCGGAAGCGCTGAGATTGCTCCGACTGGGGAAGTGCTCCGCTGGTGGGAGATACCTGGTAGAGGAAAAACCCCGCAAGCCGACGTGTAGGTGGGCGCGAGATCGCACAATCCATCGGGGGGAAAATCTTCCCGGGATAAAACATGCACTATACTTGGGGACTAAAGACCATAGCAGTTGACGCACCCGGATACACGAATCAAGTAATCAAACTGCTGTTACTCGGTACTCACCCTTGAGTCCACGCCCCAGCTCGTCGCAGGGCCCCTGGTCGAGGACGCAGGAGATCTGCTTCATGACGAGCGCGCGATCCGCCAGCAGACTGGAGATGTCTCGGTTGCCGATCTCCTCGATGCTCTGGGCCGCCGCCAGGGCCGCCACGGCCGCCAAAACAAGCAAGAACTTCATCGCGAATGGACTGTAGCCGACAAGGTACACCCTGCCGCCATCGCTCGCCACTGTTATATAGGCGCGGGGTGGAGGCTGACAACACCCCGCGCCAAAACAACGGCTTTCTCCGCTCGCCGCGTGGAAAGGAAGGTTAAAAGTCCCTCGCCCTGGGCCGAGGACGCCACGAAAACAAGGAAGTGGGAGGTATTTCAGGCAGGGGTTGAAGGCGCTGCAAACACTTGCCTCAATCAGGCGCGGTCTCTTTCCATACAGCAACTATGATTTCGAACATGAGTTGTTGAGGTTCGGAACAAAAGATCAAAAGTCCTTGGATAAATTTTGCTTTATATGTATTATTGAATTAGAATGCGTCGTTAGTCACTAAGAAATAGTATGTTTCATATTTAAAAGAGCAATTTTACGGTTTTCCGTGAAAAAAGAAAAAAAATATTCTTATGACCTTTTGTTCTGAACCTCCACAATTCAAGACTGTAGGTAAAATTAGAATATTGTTCCTAACCGTTCGTTACCAAACCGTGATGGAAAATTGCCTTTGATAGATATGAAGTAACAACTGATAATAATATTAATGATAATTAATTACAACAATGAGTTATCAAATAACACCGTATGTCGACAAGACATTGTTCTATATCTCAATCTAATTACAAGCTATATCTTTATCTAATTATAAGCTTAGTGGGATGTAATACCAGACACCTCATAACAACGAGAGATATTTCACTAAAAAGTCTTTTACAGCATGTAAAATATTGTGATAAAGTTTTCAACTCTACATATTTACGCAAGTTCTAGTAGAAATCTTACGTACTGTTTAGCTCTATAATATTATTCATTGCTATGGTATTTCGCACTAACAAAGCGTTTGAAAGAAGAAATTCCTTGATAATTAGAACTCCCTTCAGAAATGTACTACTCTGGCATGTACCATGTGCTCAAGTTGAGTCTGTGGTAGTCTCTCGCAGCAAAGCTGTTTCACACAGTTGGCTCAAATCCATCCCACAGGTGGCTCAAAATCTGTGGGCGAATGTGATAAAACTCCATTTATTCTAGAAATACTAATACTTGTGTCGTATTTACTTTCCTTACATCAAAGAATTGTTCTCGTACTGTTCAATACTTGTTGTTTCTAGGGCTCGGATAGTTATGCATTATAAATGTAAAATATGTATGTAATTATGAGATTTTTATGGATTAACAATGCAGAAAATATGTATTATATAAATCATCATATAAACGATGAAATTATCATAATTTGTTCTTCATAAATTTATATTTATTACTGATGATCTAAGTAATATTGTCTACCGAAACAATGCAAATTACGACCAAACTCACCTGAATTACGGACTGGAAAGGTTGCTGAAGGACACTTAATGTTTTCCATTACAGTGTACAATACTCATTATTTTAAGGTTTGAAAACAGAATCGATTCTCTGTTGCTTCTCAAATTTATTATTATTATTATTATTATTATTATTATTATTATTATTATTATTATTATTATTAACATTATTACTTGTAAAAAGTAAGAAATACATCGAGAAAGTAATTAATGATTGCATTTTTTAGATATTTTCCTGTGAATATAGCAAAATATTTATAATTCTAACGATGAGCTCTAAATATTATGCAGTTATCAAAACTTCCAAAATATGTAAAGCCATGCATTATAAAAATTGTGTATCTCACTGGAGAAACATTGTTCGGTGGACATATTACAACATACATATATTAAAATGTAATAGAAAAAAGTTATTACATAACTATCCTAGCCCTAGTTATTTCATTAAAATATAAGTTAATATCAATAATTCATCAATGTAAAGCACTACAGATAAATGGTGAATACTAGATTCCTTTTACATCTTAATTCATTTTAGTGGAAACTAACTCTCAGTATTTTAAATAATAAAGATTTAAATACATTATTTGATGTGTTTCACCCATAATATTCAATATTAGAAATATTTACTTATAAAGTAACCATTATAAGCACTTTTATACTCTTACTTGTGTAGAGTATTACGAGTACTGTTCTCGGTTCCTGAGTATAGGTGAGGGAGAAGGCCTGAACCATTTTCCCGGGCGTTTCTTAGACAGTAGAGAAACTGGATGGATGATAATAGAGGTGATAAGGAAAGATGATTTATGATTAAAGTATGGAAAGATCATTGGCTGGTTGGCGATAGCGGTGACGATCTACGTCAGCTTGTGGGGTTTTCCTCAACCAGGTATCGCCCTACAGCGTGGCACCTCCCCTCTATACTTCTGATTGGTCTCTTGACAATGTGGTAGCGTAGTGCGTGTGTGTGTGTATTTAAAGGGTGAGGAAAGGGTAAGGAAGAGGAAGGAAAGATCGCACGCGGTAAGTGACCCGTTTGTTAGCGCCTGGTTTATTCGCCTGGTGTTGATCGGAGAAACCACGGAAAACTACCGATCAGAGCAGCCGACCGCCAGAAGTCCCCTCCAGACAGCGGCTGAATACGACCTAGCAAACCAATGTTGAAAATCCTGACACCATCGGGACTCGACCCTAGTACCTAGTAGATAGAGGCACTACAGTGACATTAGTTGGTGCCCTGAGTCACCTTTAGGCCAGTTTAACATTCTACTCGTAATTTTCCGCGAAATGAGAGAAAATGCACAAATAAGAAAGGTTTAATTTGCAATTAGATGAAATGTTTGAGAAGAAAAGCATTTTCGATAAAATTTATATATTACTTTAATACTCAGTGACATTGGAACACCTCTTCGTAGTTATTACCAAAGGCATTGGGAATTAAATATCAAGCGGCGACAAATAGCAGAGTAAACGTTTACACGTTAGCTTTGCCTACGACACGATTACCGCTTTGCATCAGAAAAGTAAAAACAAATGTGATTTTATAGTATTGCTGACAAAATAAAATCTCTGTCGAACTGCTATTGCATCTTTAAAAAAACACGCATAGTGAGAGTACACCAAGTTAGTCATTCGCAGAGTTCGTATTTTTATGCAATTGCACATTTCTTATGCTTATCGGAAAAGTTCAAGCGGTCATAGCGGTCAAAGCGGTCAAAAAACGTGCGCATAGTGAAAGTACGGAAGCAAAGCAAGCGGTCGTAACCTCATTTGTTTAATAGATCACGGGGAAATTGACCAAAAGTCTAAGATGAGGGTCATTAACCCAGAATCTGAAATACAATCTTCTGAACAGGCATATTTATTCTTTTAGAATTATACAATACAACTTAGTAACTAATGCACTTATTTGTGACAATGTTCAGGACACATTAAAATGAAAGGAATGGATAAATTCCCTAATACCGATTAAAAATGTGATTTGCATGGGTGCCGGAAAGAGCCAATCTTGCTTATATAGTAACTGGGCGAGAATTGTTGTAATCGAAGTTAGCCTTTAGCAGAGTTCGTATTTTTATGCAATTGCATATTTCTTATGCTTATCGGAAAAGTTCGCTGTTCTTTTTACTTTCTCGCTTCTGCTTACGCCGTAGAGAGAAAGTTATGTAATGCTGTGCGAAAAAAACTGCGAGTTTTCGACAGAAAAATTCGTTACGGGGCCCTCTGTCCGTTTAGGAACAACGCTAGCGGTTAAACATTTCAGCTGATTTTCTTCAAAATTGATATTCTCGTCGATCTGGCTGATGTCGTGGTCCATTGAATTTGAAACCGATATTTAATTTGGGGAGAAACTTTACATGAAATCCCTGGAACATTTTCAGATGCTTCAAAAAAATGGCTCTATCGTTTTTATTAATTTTTTTATGGATTGCGTAAAGGATATGTAAGATAATAGTGTAGGTATCCTCTTCGTTAAAAACCCTGATTTTCCGAAAATTGCAAAAGCTCGAAATTTTTTCGGGTACTTCTTACCACTAAAATATTACAGATCGAGATTTTCTCTCAGAACTAAATCTGTTCCTTAAACATAGATTTTGAAATTAGGTCGTATACAATTTTTCGAAAATTTGAGTATTTGTTTGGCACTTTTGCGTGGAATTTAGGCAGTTTTAAAGTTTGTTTAAACATTTTTCCCCAAAAATAGCATCATCGTTTTTGATGAAATTTTGTTATTGGATAATATGAAGGATGTTTAAGAGAGTGGTGTAGGTCTCAAGTTGGTTAAAAGGCCCAATTTCAAAAATTTTAAAAATTAAGAAATGTTTGGCGTCTTCCTACAACTACAATTATGTGGATACATTTCTTTCTTAATGGAATGTGTTAATAAAGATTTTCAAATAAGATCATGTTAAATTATTCAAAATTATGAGTATTTTTTACTAATTTTGCGTCAAATTTGGTCGCCCGCTCCGAAAATCCTACGCTTCGTGGACGTAATTGTAATGGTATTTTGAGGCAGTTGGATGCAACGTAAGTTAGAATTTGTATATTATTTCCTATTTTTTGGTTCGTTTCTTACATTCGAGCTTTTGTTATACGTTTTAAAATTAATATTTTAACAATTATTTAAAACCTATTTTGAATTGCGTCCTTTGATTGGGTTTAATGTGACAACGAACATATGAGTTCGCTTTACTTAATAAGATTGCATATTTCAGGGTAATGTTGAATTATAGAATAGCGGTTTGCTGTCATTTTCTTGCTAGCGGTATCAAGAATGCTAATTGGTTAAATATGTATCCCATACGAATTAGAGGTCGTTGTTGCTTGATTGCAATAATGTCATCGTTGTAATGCTACACTGAAAACAGAAGACGATGATGACAGCTGCATTTCGTTCGTTTAATATAAGCTAATAATTTTATTTACGAGAATGTACGCGCTGTTTCAGCATCACTAATGTCTATCTAAATGGATATCTCTTAATTCTTATTAAGAGGTTTTATTTCGCAAAAATTCGAGGCAACACGTTGAATAAAATTGCATATTTCAGGGTATAATGAATTATGGAATAGCTTTTTAACAATTAATAAAGCATTGAACTGCATATTTCTGCGTTGGTATAATTTCTTGCCTTGAATAGTTTTTCCT